GTAAGGATATAGAATTGAACATTAAAACATTAATAATGAGATATTAGATTGGAAATACTGATAACCAGAGATAAAGGGAAAGAAGCTCAAAACAAATATGCTGATAAATCTAACCATACATGGGATTGTTAACAGAAGAAGAGAGGAGAAATAAGGAAGAAGAAGAGAAGGGAGAGAAGGGAGAAGAGAAGAGAAAGATTTTGGAGACAACTAGCTGGCGGCACCACTTTATATTATTATATATAGGGCAACCATAATTAAAAGGGAAAAGACCCTTATGGCCCCGCTTTAGTTAGAGTACATAAACAATGATAAAAAACTACTTTAACCAGACCAAACAGACCCTAACTCAGCAGAATACAAGCATAAAAAATAAAGTAAACATTCCAACACTCCCCCTCAAGTTGGGACATAGATGTCAATCATGCCCAACTTGTCACACAAATTATTATGCCACACATGATGAAAGCCCTTGGTGAAGATGTCTGCAAGTTGTTCTTCTGAACTGACATATGAAGTGCACACTTCTCCGCTCACAAATTTTTCTCGAATAAAATGCTTGTCCACTTCAATATGTTTTGTTCTATCATGGAGGACTGGGTTGGCAACAATATTGATAGCAGCTTTATTGTTACAATAGAGTGGCGTAGGTTTGTTAACTACAAAACCTAGCTCTCCTAAGAAGTTTTTTATCCACATGATTTCAGCAACTCCATGAGACATAGCTCTGTATTCTGCTTCAGCACAGGATTTAGCCACTACAATTTGCTTCTTACTTCTCTAGGTGACAAAGTCTCCTCCCACAAAGGTACAATGCCCACTAGTAGATTTTTTGTCATCAACTGCTCCTGCCCAATCAACATCTGTATACACTTCCACCTTCAAATGCTCATGTTTCTGGAATAACAAACCAGCTCCTGGGAACTTCTTGAGGTATCTAAGGATCCTTTCTACAGCTTCAAAGTTAGTTGTCTTAGGGTTATGCATGAACTAACTAAGGAAACCCATTGCTTAGGCAATATCAAGCCTAGTCATAGACAAATATAAGAGTCTCCCTACAAGTCTCTAGAACTTGTAGGGAGGCTTGAGTCAGTTCTAATAGTTTATGTGGATGACATTGTAGTTACAGGAAATGACCTGAGTGAGATTGATAGTTTGAAGAAGAATCTGCACAAAGAATTTGAAATTAAGGATCTTCGGTAGCTGAAGTATTTCTAGGGCATTGAGGTAGCAAGATCAAAGCATGGAATTTTTATCTCACTAAGGAAGTATGTTCTGGACCTTTTGCAAGAGACAAGGAAACTTGGGACAAAGGCAGCTAGTACTACCATTGATCAGAATCACAGAATTAATGCATCAGAAGGTGAGTTGGTAAAGGACATTGGGAGATATCAAAGACTAGTGGGGCGGTTGTTATATTTATGTATGACAAGACCAGACATCTCTTATGCAGTGAGTGTGGTGAGTCAATGCATGCATGCCCCACGAGTTCAGCATTGGGAGGTAGTTGACAGGATTCTTGCTTATCTAAAGGGACACCCAGGTAGAGGTATACTATTTGCTGACCATGGACAATTGAAGCTAGAGGCTTACACAGATGTTGATTGGGCAGGATACCTAGATGACAGAAGATCTACATCAGGAGTCTGTACTCTTGTTGGAGGCAATCTGGTTTCGTGGAAAAGTAAGAAACAAACAGTTGTGGCAAGGTCAAGTGCAGAAGCTGAAGACAGAGCCATGGCACATGGAGTTTCAGAGCTCCTCTGGATCCGTTCCTTGTTAGGAGAAATTGGTATTGAGGCGAACCTATGATGTTGTACAATGATAATCAGACAACAATTAACATTGCACACAACCCAGTTCAGCATGACAGGACAAAGCACATTAAAGTGGACAGACATTTTATAAGAGAAAGGGTGACTTCAAGGGAAGTTTGTCTTCCATACATTGCTTCTGATTTGCAGCTTGCTGATGTTCTTACAAAAAGTGTTGCAAGAAACAAGTTGGAGCATGATCTACGCAAGTTGGGAATGTGTGACATTTACTCCCAACTTGAGGGGGAGTGTTGAGATTGGGTCGATTTTAAGTTATTTGGCCCAGCTTTGTTTTAATTTTATTTACTTTATTCAGTTAGGAAGTTATTGGGCCTTAGGCCCATTAGTTTATGTTAAGTTGTGATTGTTCAGATACTTCAAGTAGCCGACCTAAGGGTACCATTGTACTTTTCTTTTCTTTTATAAAGTATATAAATCAAAAGGGGGTGGGCGGCCAGATTAAATTCAATTCTGGCGGCATCCCTCTCTTTTCTCTTCTTCTTCGTCTCTTCTTTCTCTTGTTGAAACCTTTCAACTTCTTCTTCTTTTTCTTCACAAAGATCACACTAAAACAACTTTCAGCAACTTCTACTTGGTATCTGAGCAAGCCGAAGGTTTCTTGAGCTGCTTCATCATGCAGCCCTAGATCGGCCGACTGAATGGTGAGGTGAGAGGCTAATCGAAGACCTCAGGTAAGCCCAGTTTTTGGATTTCTTGGTGGATCTGCATTGCCTTGTAGCTGGTCTAGGGTTTCCCACTAAATTCAGGAAGAACTGAAGAAAGGGGGAGAGTCTTATTTCTATAGAACTCTTCAATTTTGACCTAGGAAGTGGTAACCTAGTTTTTTAGGGTTCCTTGGTGTTTTCTGAAGGGGTGGTTCAAGTCCCACCTGTTTTGGAGGCCTCTGGAGGGAGCGGCTGCTTCTCTCTCTTCTCTAGCTCCTGCGAAAAAGGAATCTTTTGTGGAAGGAGCTTCTAGGGTACCGAAAGGGTGTCTATGGTGCCTGAAGGAGATTATTTCATATTTTTTTCATCTTAAAGTGACTTTCTAACCCTTTTTTGGGAATAATGGAGGGTTACGGAGCTGAAAACAAATCGGGGAGTGAAATGGGACAAGGGAGAGGAGGTGTCAGAGACCTTTTTGGGGTTGGGACAATCACTATAGTTAAGTTAGATGGTACAAACTATTTAGAATGGGCTGCAACTGCAACTGCAATATCTAGATGCTTCTATTGTTGGAAGCCATTGGGTCTATACGATCAAACTGAAATCAAATGGCTCTCTTGATCGATATAAGGCCCGGTTAGTTGCCCAAGGATACAGTTAGGAATATGGGATTGATATGAAGAAACATTTGCCCCGATTGCTAAGATCACCACAATTCGGACTCTTATGGCCATATCTATTGTTTATTCCTAGACTATTTACCAATTAGATGTGAAGAATGCTTTCCTTCATAGGGAACTAAAGGAGACGGTCTACATGAAACCTCCGCCTGGATATTGCAGTGATCCTTCACATGTCTACCGCCTGAAGAAGTCTTTATATGGCTTGAAACAAGCACCCAGGGCTTAGTTTGAGCGCTTCCAAGATGTTGTTGTTGCAGCTAGGTATAATCAGAGTTCCTCTAACTACTCCCTCTTTGTTAAGAGAAGACCCTAGGGTATTACTATTCTTCTATTGTATGTTGATGACATGCTCCTAACGGGGGATGATCATGACGGCATTTGTAAGCTGAAGTCCTTACTTCATAACTCATTTCACATGAAGGACCTGGGTCCTCTCACTTACTTCTTGGGTTTGGAGGTTCGTCGTAGCAGTCGAGGGTATTTTATTTGTCAACAAAAATACACCTCTGATATCGTTAAACTAGTTGGAATCACTGATGAGAAACATGTTGATACCCCCTGGAGCTGAATGTCAAGCTATCTAAATCCAAAGGCCTCATCCTTCCTGATGCTACCTTGTACCGTCAGCTTGTTGGCTCTTTGATCTATCTTACTATGACCAGGCTTGATATTTCACATGCTGTTTAGGTCACCAATCAATTTGTCTCTGCCCCGAGACAACCTCATATGAATGTTGTTCGCCGCATCATCCGTTATGTTAGAGACACAACCTCTCAGGGGCTATTTTTCTCTTCCTCGTCATCCATACAGTTGAGGGTTTATGTTGATGCTGATTGGGCTGGTTGCCTTGACACTCGTCGATCCACTACTGGGTGGTGCATCTTCATAGGTGACTTTCTCATCTCTTGGAAGTGTAAGAAACAGCAAACTGTCTCTAAGTCTTCTACTGAAGTCGAGTATAGAGCTATGTCTTCTGCATGTAGCGAGATTGTTTAGCTGAAGTCACTTTTCATGGATCTTGATATTTCTCTTCCTACTCCTATCCCTCTGTATGCCGACAACACCAGCGCTATCAAGATTGCATCTAATCCAGTCTTTCATGAGAGGACTAAACATATCGAGGTGGATTGTCACTTTATTAGAGACCTTGTTGCAGGCTCTATATCTCTTCCTCATGTTGCCTCTCACATGCAGATTGCCAACATCTTCACCAAGGCCATGACCAAAAGTCGACATCTCATTCTTGTGGGCAAACTGATGTTGATGTCTACACATCAGTTTGAGGGGTAGTGTAGTGTGAAGATATATCTTGATGTACATATTAGAGTAGTCCTTGTTGTACAGTATCGTAATTCTTATTATTTTATTTGTTCTTTTTATCTTTTAGCCCTGTAAGGGCATTCTTGTAACTGTACATACCTTTTATCTCTTTAATATAAAAGAGACTCTTTGGGGGTGGGGGTCAACTATTCTTGACACCCCTAGATCTGTTTTCTTCTTTCTCTAATTCAATTCACAAGAACCATCTAAGGAAAAGTTTGGGTCAAAGAAGGGACCTCATCTCAAAAGTGCATAAGGTAAACCCATGAGAAACTGGTATAATCATCAACATATAATAAGAAATATCTGTACCCCCCCCCCCATGGCGGGAGTATGATATGGCCCCCAAACATCGGTATGCACAATTTCAAAAGGAATGTTGCTTCTTTTATTACTCAAAGGATAAGATGATATACTATGTTTTGCAAGCTCACAACTTTCACATTTCAAACTTGACACTTCTACTGACTCAAATAAGTTTGGAAAAAGATTCTTCAAAGACCCAAAAGATAAATGACCTTAAGCGGTTATGCCAAAGCATAATCTTACTCCAAGACTGAGAGACAAACAATTTCCCCACTTCACTTTGCTTCCCCTGGGAATGTTCAAGCAGGTAAACTCCATTCATCTCACGGCCAATCCCAATCACTTTCTTTGTTTCCAAATCCTGAAAAACACAACGATCAGGGAAAAAGGTTACTGAACAGTTTTGATTCTTAGTAATACTACTAACTGAAAGCAAGTTAGCACTAAGCTTGGGAACATGCAAAACTGAGGATAGGGTGATGGCATCAGACAATCTGACGTCTCCCTTGCCAAAAATTGGCACAAGGGAGCCATCAACAATAGAAATTGTGTCTCTCCCAGAGGATAAACAATAGGTGCTAAACAAAGTAGATAAGCTGCTCATATGGTATGAAGCACTTGAATCTATTACCCATAAAGGTCTAGTGTTACCTGGGACAGAAGCATGACATGCAGTAGCTCTTGTACCTGTATGAGCAAGGGCTGAAGTAGGATGAGCAAGTGTGGTAGCCGAAGACTGAGATGTAGATCCAAAAATACCAGCTTCATTTTCTAGCTGTCAGTGCAGCCCAAACAGCTGCTAGGGCATCCAAAGATGTGGTCCTTGTGCTGGAGAAAGATGCACTGTCAGCAGTAGTTGCTACATTAGCACTCCCCTTCTTGTTTCTAAGTCTAGTTGGCATTAGGTGAGGATGTAACTTCCAATAGGTGTCCCTAGTGTGTTTGGGCTTCTTGCAATGATCACAAAAGATATCCTTTTTGTCTTCATTCTTAACTTCCCTTTCCTTTTCCCCTCCAACCTTAATTTGTTGCTGCTGAGGTTGCTTTTGTGGGATGAAAAGATAGCATCACCTTCCTCTTACTCTCTTCAATGTGGACTAATGAGTAGGCTTGAGATAGGGTCACACTCTCCCTAGTGAGAAGTTGTTGTCTTGTTATATCAAAATCTGAGTTTAGACCGGCTAAGAACTCAAAGACTCTATTTGTTTCAATCAGCTTTCTATATTGCATCCTTCTGGCTTTCCCATTCAATAGTTTCCAAGTGATCAATTTCATGCCAAAGGGATTTCAGATTAGCAAAATACACCGACACTGGCTTCTCCCCTTGTTCGAGGTTGCTTACTTCACACTTTAGTTCATAAGCTCTAGCCACATTAAGAGGTTGAGAATAAGTCTCCTTCATGCTGTCCCAGATTTCGTTGGCTGTTTTTGCCCAAAGGTAGTTTCGGCTGATGTGGGGCTGTAAAGAGTTGCATAGCCAGGTCATCACCAAGTAGTTCTCTTGAACCCATCTTGGATGAGATATATCCTCCTTGGTTGGTTCCTTTGTCTCCGGTCACATACCCTAATTTCCCTCTACCCCCAATGGCCATCATTGTCGATTGGGCCCATTCCAAGTAATTCGTTCCATCAAACCTAACAGTGGTAATCTGGAACGAATTTTCAGTCATGTTACCAGTCCCAAAAACTTCCCCTTGAGTTTTCACCTCACTTCCAACCCTTTCCATACTGAGTAGATCATAATACTCCAAGAAGAAAAAACTAGTTTTCTACTGAAATACCAAGATAACAGAGAACAATAATCCAAAAACTTATCTCAGCAAATAATAAGAACTATAACTTAATTTCAGTCGACAGTTCCTTCTCAAAACTGTAACTTTTAATCAAAAAAAACACCAGAGAATAACAGTCCAGAAACTGATTTCAGTAGAGAATAGATCTTGATTCTTTAAATAAACAGCAAGGTGATCTCAGATTTATTATGCTGCTGCTTAAGATCGAATTACCTTAAAGGTTGCACCTTTTTCAGAAAAGAAAGCTGATCATAAAAGAAATCTTGATAACTTCTACCGAGTTACCTTAAAGGTTGTTCCTTTCTCAGTAAAAAGAACTCTGATCGACTTCTTTGGTTTGAAACCTTAACCCTGATCAAATCTGAACTCTTTCTCAGAATTCTGATCGTCCTCTTTGGTTCGAAACCCTACCGAAACTGATCTCCGATTCTTCCCAGTCACCGGAGCATTCTCCAAGAATCTTTTCACTTTCTTGGGCGGTCTTCAGTACTCCAGTAACCTCCAAGCATCAGGCAGCTGCTGCAGAGATCTTGATCTAATGGATTTTCATGTAGCTGACCAAATCAGGCTTACATGATAACCCTAGATTTTCTCGCCAATAGCTCTGATACCAACTTGAAGAAAGCTAGTGGGTTCCTGTCTTAAAGAAAAAAAAAAGGAAGAAAAGATCTAGGTTTCGAAGAGAAGAAAAGAAGAGGGAGAGAAGAGAAGAGAGGAGAAAAGGGGTTCGGTTGATAAATTCTGCCGCCCCATAAACTTCATTATATAGTTTTGGTTCCTTACAAGAATAGGAGATAAAAGATAAACTCTAGTCCTAATAAAGCAATAAATTCTAGTACTAATACATGGATAAGGCCAGCCGGCCCAACTTAAAAAAGAATTAAAATAACTAGGTGTGGGTAAGGAACCACACACACTAGAGCCTAAGTGTGGGTATGGAACCCCACACTCGTGGCTACTAACTATTTCTACACCTTGCTTTGTATCTATCAGAGTATGGTAATTCATCAAAGCAGTTGTTCTTACACTCCACAGCAAAATGGTGTAGCAGAAAGGAAGAACAAACACATTGTTGAGATTGCGAGGAGCATGATGATAACATCTACCGTTCCAGTTCGATTTTGGGGTGATGCAGTTCTCACAACAGTCTTTCTAATTAATAGGATGCCTTCTCGTGTTCTTGGATATAACACCCCATTTAGCCTCCTTTTGCCTGAGGGGGAGATGTTCCACATTCCTCTCAAGGTGTTTGGTTGTGTTCGCTTTGCTCATGTTCTTGGTCCTCACAGCTTGAAGCTTGATCCGAAGGCAAGGAAGTGTGTTTTTCTTGGGTATGCAGAAAATCAAAAAGGATACTGTTGCTATGACCCAGTCTCTGGGAGTCGGTATGTCACTATGGATGTCACCTTTTTTTATGAATACGGATGTCACCTTTTTTGAGTCCACACCTTTCTTCCAGAGGGGTTCTTCTCAAGGGGAGTGTTTTGGGGAAGGAAGTGAGCAATCTATTCCTTTTCTGGTTCCAGTCCCTGTGTCCACTAGTGTGTCTGACCCCCCTGTGTCAAATCCTCCGAGGTCACCTACTTTACCACCTCCCTTGTGTCCTATTTCTCAGTGCTTCTCATGACGACACGACTTCACAGGGAGGTTGATTCCGTAGCAGAAGAACTCACATCACTTCCTATCGGCTCTTTGGAGACTCCAGATTCGGCTGACACTGACTCAGGTATTCCTCTTGCTTCATCTAATGTTTTAGTTCCTATTGATTCCACTAACCCCATTAAAGATGACCTTGACCTTCCTATTGCACTCAAAAAAGGGAAGAGAAAGTATACTGCTCATTGCATCTTACAGTATCTCTCCTACAGCGGACTTTCTCCTTCTTATCGAGCCTTCCTTTCTTCCCTCAACTGAGTGGAAGACAGCTATGCAGGAAGGAATGGAAGCTTTAATTAAAATCATATGTGAGAAAATGTGGATCTAGGGCAAGGACATTGTTGGATGTTGGGTTTATATAGTGAAATACAAAGCAGATGGAAGTATAGAAAGGTATAAGGCAAGATTGGTTGCAAAAGGGTAAACTCAAACCTATGGCATTGACTACTTAAAGACTTTTGCACCAGTTGCAAAAATGAACTCTATTCAAATCCTTCTCTCTCTTGCTGTTACATACTCTTGGCCCCTTTTCCAACTTGATGTGAAAAAGTGCCTTCCTTAATGGGGACCTGCAAGAAGTATATATGGATCTCCCTGTTGGTTTCCACAATGATGCTGAAAAGGGAAAGGTATGCAGATTGAAGAAGTCTGTTTATGGTTTGAAACAGTCACCCAGAGAGTGGTTTGACAAGTTCAGAAAGGCCTTGATTGCTTTTGGCTATACTCATACTCAATCAGACCATACTTTGTTTGTAAAGCAAAGAGGGTCCCTTGTGTCAATTCTGATAGTTTATGTGGATGACATTATAGTTATAGGAAATGCCCTGAGTGAGATTGATAATTTGAAGAAGAATCTGCATAGAGAATTTGAAATTAAGGATCTTGGGGAGCTGAGGTATTTCTTAGGCATTGAGGTAGCAAGATCAAAGCATGGAATTTTTATCTCACTAAGGAAGTATGTTTTGGACCTTTTGCAAGAGATAGGGAAACTTGGGACAAAGGCAGCTAGTACACCCATTGATCAGAATCACATAATTAATGCATCAGAAGGTAATCTGGTAAAGGACATTGGGAGATATCAAAGACTAGTAGGGCGGTTGTTATATTTATGTATGACAAAACCAAACATCTCTTATGCAGTGAGTGTGGTGAGTCAATACACACGAGTTCAGCAATGAGAGGCTGTTGACAGGATTCTTGCTTATCTAAAGGGACACCCAGGTAGAGGTATACTATTTGCTGACCATGGACAGTTGAAGCTAGAGGCTTACACAGATGCTGATTGGGCAGGATGCCTAGATGATAGGAGATCTACATCAGGAGTCTGTACTCTTGTTGGAGGCAATCTGGTTTCGTGGAAAAGTAAGAAACAAACGGTTGTGGCAAGGTCAAGTGCAGAAGCTGAATACAGAGCCATGGCACATGGAGTTTCAGAGCTCCTCTGGATCCGTTCCTTGTTAGGAGAAATTGGTATTGAGGCAAAAGAACCTATGATGTTGTATTGTGATAACCAGGCAGCAATTAACATTGCACACAACCCAATTCATTATGACAGGACAAAGCACATTAAAGTGGACAGACATTTTATAAGAGAAAGGGTGACTTCAGGGGAAGTTTGCCTTCCATGCATTGCTTCTGATTTGCAGCTTGCTGATGTTCTTACAAAAGGTGTTGCAAGAAACAAGTTGGAGCATGATCTACACAAGTTGGGAATGTGTGACATTTACTCCCAACTTGAGGGGGAGTGTTGAGATTGGGCTGATTTTAAGTTATTTGGCCCAACTTTGTTTTAATTTTATTTACTTTATTCAGTTAGGAAGTTATTGGACCTTAGGCCCATTAATGTTAAGTTAAGTTGTGACTGTTCAGCTACTTCACATAGCCGACCTACTAAGGGTATGTAGAGAACACT